AGTTAATCTAATATTTATAATCATTTAATTAAAAATTTTCTATTTTTTAATAGATTTAATGGTAATAAATTTTTTATAATTAATGAATTAGTTTTATATATTTAATTAATTTAAAAAATTAATTTATATGAACTATATAAATATAATATTAAATCTAATAGTTAATTTTAAAAAATATTCATTAGATGGTGATATTTTTGAAGTTAGAATTCTAATTTTTTAAGTTTGAATTCTTATTTTTAAAAAAAATTAAAATTGATATACAACATATTTTAAATATAATATTCACTACTTTATTATTGTTAGTTTTGAATTGATGTTTAATTTCTTTCCATTCTAATTTATTTGGCTCATTGTATTAGTATATTATTATTAGAGAACTTTATTTAATATAATCATTAGTGCATATCTTTTCATTTATACATACTATGTATTTCAAAATTACTCGCCTCATCCTCAAATATTTTAATTTGGGTAAGAATTAATGAAATTCATACATACAATGTCATCACTCTCAATAAAATAAAAAAATTAATTATTAAATAATATAAGGTTAATAATTTAAATAACATTATTTATGTTATGTCATTAGTACTAAAATCTTGGTCTATTTATTATTATTTCAAATTCTTATTAATTAATCGAAGCCAGTTTTTAGGTAGTTAATGGGTTAACTTTGGGGTTGTTCTAGTCTTGCTAACTGTTGGAGTCAAGATCCATTTAAGAAGTGAACCGTTGTTATCCTCAGATCATATATTCCACACACAATACTTTCAAAATGTAGAGTTATGGTCATTCAAAGGGTAGTTCGTTGTTATCCTTTGGAGGGCCACACATTCCACACATGATACTTCCAAAATCTAGAAGTTATGGCTGCTTGCTGGGTGCACCTCAATTTTTTTCCAAGTGGGCAGTGCAGCATTGTTGTCAACATTTATGGGCCGAGTCAAGTCAGCACATTAGTCTTTTTCCATATGTTCTCAGTGACCCTAACAAAATTTTCCAGGGGAGGTGAATTGATTAATTAATGGATCAAATTAGGCAGCAATAAGGAGGTCTCTTAGAACCTGGTCTTCCGGGTCAAGTGGCTTTGGTCACTCTTGTAAGGTTCATGTCCTCCTTTTTAGGGCAATGGTTCGAGCCGACCCCATGACAAAATGTTCAAAAAAATAAAAAAATAAGGAGGTTTTTTAGAAAGCTGAAACAGTTTACTTTGATCATGACACTTGCCGTGTCAATTACTATGAGGAGCGAAAAAATATATGACAATTAATTTCATTTTAAATATAGTATATGTTGAATATTTTATTTAAATAAAAAAATTATTTATTTATTTATACTAAAATCTTAGTCTATTTATTAT